TTCTAACTTAAATTTATCAATTTAGTTGGTTTTTCTAGTATTTATTGTAAGGGGTTTTCTCGCCTCAGAGAAAACGGTTCCTTACGAATGGCGCTGGTTACGGACGGTTCTCGAGCGCCAGATTTTTGGTTATGGTTTACTCCACAAACTCTCGAAACGGCACCGAAAGGTCACTTAGACTCAGGTAATTAGTAGCCACAAGTAATGGGCTTTAATTATTACTTGTGGTTGTAAAGAATTTCTCACTGCTGAAAAGTAAGGGGGAAGTAAATTGAGGATTAGTTAACCTCAGTAATGTGGACACATATATTGGTTTAACTATTTACAGTTAAAATAAAAATAACATATTTCAACGCCCACCCTTGGTTATGAAACACTGAACAAAAAAAAAAATAAAGCAGAAACAAAATGGGAACAAACGGTTGATATAGTTGGCAGGTATTCTCAATCAGACTGCTTAAACTGGATACGGTGAAGGGGTCGCGTATAAAAAAAATGTATTGGTAAATCTCAGACTAATTTAAATCTCGGATAGTAGGAATTTTAAATTTACGGTAATTACTCTTAAATCGCAACAAAAAAATCTAAATGTAAATCATGGATAATACGAATTAAAAAAAAAAAAATGAAATTTACGGTAATTACTTAAATCGCAAAGCAAATCAAAATTTTGATCAAGGATAATATTAATTTTAAAAATTCCAAATTTACGGTAATTTTCTTAAATCACAAAGAAAAATCAAAATTTAAATCAAGGATAGTATGAATTTTAAAAATTTAAACTGCGGCACTTCTGTAACTCGTGAGGACCTCTTGAAATATTTCTAAATGTTTTTTTTTTTAAACCCCTGAAGCCAACGAGCAAGCTACGCTGAATCAAACCCATACTACCTCTTGGTATTTATTATTATAACCCCAGGTCGGACAGGGATATCTAGAAAGGAAAATAACACAGGGAATTTTAAGCCCTCACTGAGTTAATTGCGGATAGCTAGGAAGGAAAATAACAGGGAATTCTAAGCCCTCACTGAGTTATTTGGAAATAGCCAGAAAGGAAAAATAAAGGAACGGGGATTTTATATTCAAAACAGGAAATGATACCCTCCCCTTCGGTAGAACAAAATCCCGGACAGTCAAACCAAACAAATAAAAAAAAAAAGAACAATATTCAGTTCCCGTATTTCCCACGGTTAGGAATTTAACCTATCTATTTTTTAAAGTCTATCTAAATTAAAAAAAAAACACTCTAATTCCTATCTTTTCCCAATTTACTTATTTAATAATTCTATTTACAAAGTCGATTTATATCTGAAGCAGTCCTCACCGTTCGAAGGAAATAAAAAAAAAAAAATAAACACGGCCAATATCCAAACAAGAAAATATTCTTCGGCTGTTAATTTAATTATTAAATTTCGGAATTTTCAAACAAAATTATTTACGTGTTAAAATGTAAATCTCAAAAGGTGTTTAAATCTACCTAATTTAATTCGGTTTTATTTTCTATCTAAACTCGATGCTATGGTAAAAAATCAAAACGGGTTTTTTTGTATTAACTGCGGCAAACAAAACGGTTTTGGCTCGCGGCGACGGTATTACACTTATCGACTGACTCTTTCGATCGCTTGGAATGGAATTAAAAATTTCTCTCACTGTTTTCGATCTCGACTTGAAAAATATTTACCAATGCCCCGCGCACGATCAACTTAAGAGGGTATTCGAGAAGGGGTGCGGTGCTGGGTGCTGACGTTCGTTCTCGTTTAAAATATTAAAAATGATAAATTCCCAAATCTACAATTTTTTATAATATAAATTCAAATCCTGGTTTAAAATGACTTAAAACCATTGCTATATTGTGAAAGTACTATGGATTTTCGGATTATTATATATTTCAAAATAATAGATACAGGGTGAAGGTAAAAAGTTGATTTATAAATTAAAATAGTAACGAATAATTAATTTTATTAAATTGATATGCCGGATTCTAATGAAAGTTAGATTTAAAATCATTATTAAGGATACTAATTCGGCACTTGAATTAAAAAAAAAAGTATGGAAAATGACTTCATTACATCATAGTAAATTCAAATTATTTAATCAAATTTTGAATAAATAGACCCCGCTCCCCGTTTATCTTGTAGCGACGAGGCCGGTATACTACGTCATCGGCGCCGATCACCTGTTAGAGAGCTAGTGTGCAGACACAACGGAGCGCTCTGACCATAGTATCACACTATAGCTCTGCTCACAAAAAGAACATACAATATCTGATCTGTATTGTAACATTGAAGCGTCGACCACTGATCCACACATAGGTCGGAGCTAAGGCCTGGCACATGGAATCCTCGTTCTCGCTTAACTGGTGCAAAAAAGCCTTGATGTGACCAGTAGGTCGGAGCGAGGGCGAGGGTCCAGGATACTATGCTATGGCCAAGGGTCGTTGGTCCCCATTGTGTTCGTACCCTTAGGTGTATGTAGTAAATATTATTACGCCTTTGCTGTTGTTTGTGTTTTTCGAAATGTCTGCTCAAAATATCTGGTATAAATATTGTACCAAAATGTACAAAAACAATAATTACACCAAATAAAGTATTCTAACTCACACAGATGAAGATATGGGCTTAGCATGCATCAATGCATTTCTCATATATATTTATTGATGATGTACAGAAGTATTTGAAGATTTGAGAACGCGCCTGAAAAGGCGTCTGGCCCGAACTAGTACATCAAATTGCTGTCTAGGAATCTCGACAGTCAATGTCGTCATGGTCTAGCGGTAAGGGCATTTGTCTAGAGAACAATGGTCAAAGAAATATCTAAGTCGACTGCAACAAAGAAACAAGTGACATATTATTGAGGATGTAACAGTGGGGGCCATGGTTTTAGTAAGAAGCGTTGATTTGCCGCCGTTAAAGTGAGAGCTTGGTAAATTGCACCTTGGAAAACAAAGTGTATGGAGTAGTGACAGTACCAACAAAAAGGGCTTTAGTTCGACTGTGTCCATTGCCTTTTGAAAAGGAATGATATGTGCGGGTATAAAACTTTGGTCATAAAATGATATAAAATATATGATTTTTTAAAAATCTGTTTTCACAGCAAGATGTATATCAGAAAAGGCAACAATTTAAAAATAATTTCAATTATGCAGGATTCTCCAAGAAAGTGAATACACATTTAAGTTAAATGGGACACCTGTATTTTATTTTATACTTGAATTGCCCTCCCTTTTCCCATTATAACAATATCAAATAATATGAGATTATACAGGGTGTCACATGCTATAGGTAATCAGGTTTATAAGAAAATCGTATTGATTTCAATGATCTGTATAGTGCAAAAGAAACAATTTTTTGCGGTAAAAGGTTTCGTATATTAGTCAACATTATGCTTTTTTCAATTAGAAACAAATCTGTACAGGACGACTCAAAATTCAAATATATAATTTTTTAAATCACCACTTAAAAGTTTAATTTGAGTTGAGCATTTCCTATACTAAAAGTGTTTGTTAATTGGAAAGTATAATTTAACCAGCTATAATTTATTAATATATTATCAACTGAAGTAAGTTTTTGACAATAAAAATAGCAATTGAAAACTTCACATAATACCTACTTTATTATAGTTTAATAAGTGTAATTTTGACTGATTTTATTTAATTAGAAAAATTTATCTAAGCAGCCTTCAATAATATTTATGGAGGTCTTAAGGTGTTTTTTAAAAGTCCAACTCACATTTCTAAGCATTTTTTTAAGAACACCAGAAATACTCTCTTATGAACAACTAAAGGTCATATTAAAAAACTGGCTAGACTTTATAAAAACACATATTGCAACACTAATGGACGTTAGTAATAATAAGCTATCAGTATTAAGGTTTCAAAGTCAACTTAAAAATATAATAAACTTGTATTATAATGGAATGAGTCTATAATTGGTTGCTATTGATATTATTTTTAATTGAATTACTAACTTAAAATTAATATATAATTGTTGCAACCAACCAATGTTAGACCCAATCAACTACTGGCTGGTAATCAATCAATAATATCATCCTTTTTTAAAATTTAGATCACTAATAAATCTAGACAAGTTTGTAATTTTTACCTAAGGAAACAAGGAATGTGGAAATTTCTTTACTGGTTCATTTTTTGTTCTGCACATATAATTTTTTTTATATTAGGTACTCTAATTCTAAATCATCAGTGTATTTAGTGTTTCATATTTCTCTCATTTATTATTTGAACTAATTGTTTAATATGATTCATAGCTCTATCATTAATTATGCAAACTTTTGCTTAATAAAATCACTTCTTAATTTTGTAACTGTTGTTAATTGCTAAATTTTTTGCCCTACTGAATAAATTTTATTTTTAGATTCTGGTACATATTTCTGTGTTTCTTTTCCTCCTTTATTTAATTTATTATTGACCATACAGTATATATAAATGCATTTATTTTTCGAATATAATAATCGTACTCTCCCTATAATTCACCCCTTTTTTAGTGAACTTCTAATAGCAGAGTTCATGCAGAAGAGACAGATATCTATTATTATTTGGTGTTAAATTGTCATATTGCAAATTTAATTAATAAGACACGATGAGTAATTTTGAGTTCAGATCATTGATATAAAGGGTTATGAAAACTTCACACACTATCATCGGCATGACATCCCACTGGGATTGAAAATCTGGATTAAATTACTGCTAATACACCACCCATCAAATCATACAACGATTCATGCATATAAAAAAATCACATAGTCTATAGTTGGATTTGAACCACCTGGCCGTCCTTTCTATTGAAAGCCAAAAGCTAGCATTGGCTAATCGGACTTACTAAGTAGAATTTAGAATGATGAATACAATTTAATTAAATTCATAAGTTTTATGGAGTAGAAATTTTCGGACTATGAAGAAGGTATTATTTTTTAATTATTTTTTTTTTAATTATTACCTAGTTTTATTGATTTATCGAAACATAAAAGCCATAAAAATGACTTACCTTTCTTGTTCTTCTACCTCTGAGTCTGATCCTAGCATTCCCAGGTTTGCTACCGCTAGAAGATGGACCATCCTTTTTGATATTCTTTAAAGGTTTTTCTTCCTTCTTCTCAGCAACCCTAGCTCTCGTCTTGGCTCCAACTCTTCTTGTTTGTCTCACACTGACATTGCTATCTTTAACAGGCAAACTGGCTTTAGCCTCATTCTTAACCTCAACATTTTTGTTCCGTTCACTTTTTTCAGATTCACTATCTGAATCACTTGAAGGCGAACTGTCAGAACTCGAAGATGTGGATTTACTTGTAGACTTTGAATGTTCAGTTATTTTTGGCATATTCTTGTCACCTGTAGGACTTGGTTTGCGAATTGTGGCTATAGTTAAACGAAGTCCTGTTTGCGAACTGGTGACAGAGAATTCAGGACTGGGACTGCTGTGTCCACTACGGGATGATGATTCTTGACTTGATGTCGAACTGTCTTCGGAGTCTGAAGAATCTGACTGTGACTGAGATGCATCAGAAGCGGAGTTCTGGAATTTAAAACATTCAAATGAAATTACTTATTTACTTAAATAGATATACTACATAATTATTTTAATTGGTACACAAAATTAAAACATGTTTGTAACATTAGGGCCCAGTTGTATGAAGCGAATTGAACTGTCTGGTTCACCAAAGGATTACAAAACTATTTGAATCAATTTAGTGTGAAGACCATGATTTCTTACTGGTACAAAAATAATCAGGAGTTGTAACACAATTATCAACAAACATCAGATGTCAGCTATATACTTAGATTGAAGAATCTGCTCTCAGTTGATGAATCCTTAAATGCACACATCAGGACAAGCGGTTCCTGCTTTTAATACCTTTGTTTGACGAAAGAGTCCTAAACTGATTTAGAATTACTAATTCATAGTTAGAGCGCATGCCCGATTCATTATCAATGGACTATAACAACGAATCGGAATTTTCAATCTTATTTACCTAGATATAACTAATAATGGTAGGCATTTAGAAGAAAATTGGGACAAAAAAAAAACCATTACTGATGAAGATTCCCGCGTAAAATCACCCTTATAGAATAACTACACATTGTTACAACGATGCCAAATATTATATCCCGAAGCCGAATATTTTTAAAACATTTTTGTTTTCTTCTCGTAATGCGTTGATAGTTTCAGTGGTTTGTATTTTTGTTATAGTTGTCTTGTCTTATATGACTGGTTGACGTTTTTTAAATTAGCTAATAAGCAAATCATGTACCGAAATGCAATTAATAATTCATGAACAGTCCAAAGTTAGTTGGAATGCTTTATTAGGATCATCCACTAACCCGTAATTTGTTTGCTGGAACGCTTCTAGCTTACTGCGGAAGACCGTGACGGTACAATGTTCGTTTTCTTTATTTTGTTGACAACTTTTGTACATATTTTGAAAAGGTTCAATGTGAAGTTCAATTGAATGAACAAATTTCTGCACTCAAAGATGCTTTAAAATAGTTTGTTGCTTTGTCGTTTTATATTAAAATGAACCAAAGGTTACTCAAACTGGACATCCATTGTAGGCATCGTACATATAAACGTTGCTGTAGGTTTGTTCCAACAGATTGAAAAAAATCCGAATGTTGTACTGTTACGGTTTTGTGCAGTAGGCTAGAGGCGTTCTAACAACAAAACCAGAACCATATAGTTGATCATCCTCTAAAGCGACAAATCATTCCTAATAACTTCAAAATAAAGCATTCTAACTTCGGGCAGTTTACGAATGGTTTTTTGTATGTCATTTTGTGATAAACAGGAAGTGCTTAGACTGACATGCACATTTGAGCATTCATCAGCTGGCAGCATGTACAGACATCTGATTTTTGTTCATTGTTGCGTCCGGGTCATGATGAATGACATTAGTTATTGTAGGTGTTTCTACTTCTCTCAAATAACATATAAAAACAAAATATATGGCACTAAAATGTATGTGTACTAAAAAACCACCAGAGATTGTTAGTAAGTGACCGTTAGATTGATCAATCGTTTGGCAGATTAATATTATACTCATGTTCATGGAGCGTGACAGTCATTATAGGCGTTTCAACTTCGCTCAAATCCCATATAAAAACAAAAGAAAATATATCCTTATCTAAAATGAGAATAATTCTAAAAAATCCGCCAAAGGCCGTTAGTAAATGGTGTACCCTTTTGATCGTTTGATCTATTGTTGATCAATTGTTTCCATAAAAACCCGTTTTTGAAACATTTTTGACTGAAGATATTTATGATTCAGAAATACATAATGAGGGATATAAAATTTGTAAAGAGTTGAAAGTGAACGTAGTCACATAGTGCTTTAATTTATATACAAAGAGAAAACTGAAAGTTTCAAATATTTTAAATTTTGTATTCCAAAAATTTGTTGGATTGTCTCTGTGACAGTATTAATAGGAAACAAACATTTTTTTAATAATTGTATAGGTCACTTAGCAGTAGTTGCATAAAATTTAACACTTGGGCTGAAAGAAATGTATTCTCAAAAAGTTATTGTTTCTGGAAATTTTAATATTGACTTGTTAACAAAAAACACATACAGAACGAATTTAAAGGACAGAAATGGTGGAGGTACACTAATAGATTTAGTTATAACAAATAACGATTCAGTCTCAGATGAGGTTATCAAAACAATAAAAATTTCAATCATTTTATGCTTTTAATGAATGTGCTATTAACAACTAGTGATCACCTATCTGCTTTGGAAATTTTAATTTAATAAATAACCAACTTTCAACATTAGCAAGGAACTATCGTATTTATGACATGAATGCAAAATATGATTTTTTTTTTGTAACAAATACATATTTCCAAGATACAAAAAGTGGTGAAATGAAAAGTAAAAGCTGCCACAAGGTACAGAGATGTTGTATGTAAAAAAAATCACAAGAAAAAAAAAAGTAAATAACTGGAATGAATATAAAATCATAGAAATCGGGCCGTTAATGTAATTCGAACAGAAAAAAATTAAACACAGAAAAACATATTTACGAAAATAGGGGAAATCTCAAAGAAATGTGAAATCTCTTAAGTTTGCTCATAAAAAATAGTAGGTCACACGATTTAATCAAACTTGAACTAGAAAATAATGTAATCTCAAGGAAATGTGAAAATCTCTTGAATATTTGCTCACAAAAAATAATAGGTCACACGATTCAATCAAACTTGAACTAGAAAATAATGTATCAAAAATATTTTTGGCATGCCGAATGCTCTTAATAAATTGTACATACAGTGTCAAATCGATTGCAAATATGATTGATCATACAGTACCAGATTATCAAATTTTAGACAGACACAATGGACATTTTCTTGGGAAGATTCAACCATGTATGGTGGATTCTTTAAGAGAAATTCATTTTGTAAGGAAAAATAAAAGTAGCATAGATGACATTAACCTTAATATTTAAAAAAACCTTTTTTGCAACCTCTCAGAACTACTTTTAAATTTGATAAATTCATCCTTAGAAATATTGAAAATACCTAATGCTTTTAAAATTGCTACAGGAGTTCCTGTTTCTAAAATAAAAAATGCAAATAATGCTACTGATTTAAGACCTATTAGTATGTTGTTGTATCGCAAAAATCCTTGAGAAGGTCGTTTATGAACAAATTGTTTTTTTAGGACATAAACTTATTATTAGAATATATTTGGGCTGCAGAAGCAACCATAACTGCAAATCAGCTAATCAGTGTGTATTATATGATTGGAAACATAATTTTAATAAAAATTATCTAACACTGGCAGTTTTTATATATCTCCAACTAAACTAGCATTTTAAGTTGTTGACCAAAACAATTTGATAACAAAATTGAAAAGTATGGGTAATATGATTTTAACAGTATTGTCAGCGATATTAGACTTTTGTCCTGGCAGAGAAGTATGTACAAATCTGAAGGCATGCCCTTATTAGGAGAGTTAAATTTCAAAGTGTTGATTACTGGTGAACTGTCGATTACTGGTGCTCTTATCTTAGTATCATAGTTTTATATCTGTGTTTAATTATATTTTTCTTTTTTAACTATAGATTATTCATATTAATTTATTGCATCTTTGCAAGTTTACAATTATTATCATCTCTAATAATATTATAAAACTTACAGACTAGTCCCAATAAAAATAATAGTAAAAAAATTATTAAAATTTGACATCCACACCTCCATGCACACCTAGACACAATCTACCTACTTCCATCCACCTATTTATAAATGTAACAAAGTACAACATAAACAGTTTAAAAAATTGTTACAAAAATTGAGAAAAGAATTTAATTACAGTAAAATGTTCGAAGTTTATCAACTTATATTATTTATTCCTGGTATGGCATCCAAAAATTCTTCAACTGAGTAGAATGCATTCTCGATTAAGTACTTTCTTAATTTTTCTTTAAATATATTATATTTGCAGTTACCTATTATGTTGGTTGAGTGATTATAACAAATAATGCCTTAGTAATCCCCCATGTTCTGTCCAATACCTAATAGCGAATATGGCGTTCGAAATTCATTTGCCCCACTTGTATTAAATTGATGTATCATATTACCTCTTACATATTTTGATTCATTTGCTTTTATACTCACGGTTATTAAATACGTACTGACAAATATTTAAAGACATTTTTACAGTGTGCTCCATAGGGCAAACCTGCAATACACCTTACTATCTTCTTTTGCATTATGAAAACTTTTCCCATATGAGAGGAGTTACCCAGAATGACAGACCATATGATAATGTGGATTGTGCCAGACCATAATAGGCCAGCCTAAGTATTGGTAAGCTTGAGGTATTACACAACTGCCTGAATATGAAACACATTGAGCTTAACTTTGATACAATATAGTCTGTGTGTGCCTCCCATGTAAATTTAGGATCCACAATTACTCCTAAATATTTAAACTGCTTCACTTGTTTTGGATTTGTTGTTAAAGTCTTATTAACATTGAGTAATCATGTTTAACATTCTTAGGTAGAAATGTCATAAATGCCGTTTTGCCTATGTTGATCAAAAGTCCATTTGCTCTGCACCAGTCTGCAAACTCCATTGTTGCCTTGGCTGCAGCTTCTCATGCCATGTGCAAATTTTGTTTTGCCACTATTTCACTTGTGTCATAACTGTTGTTTCAGGTGTATTACATGTATGAACTATATCACTCATAAATATTATAAATAGCAGAGGTTCCATGGTCGAGCCTTGTGGTACCCCCCACAGGCTGATACCTTACTGAGTCAATACAAACCACTTGGTACCTGTTTTGTAAATAAGACTCTACTCAATTACCTGTTACTCCTCTAACCCCTATTCTGTACAATTTTGGCCCATGGTCCACTGTATCGAATGCTTGTGTCAAGTCGAGAAAGATGGCAATAGTGTGCTTCTTGTTATTCAGCTCTTCTATTAGTTTACTACAAAGTTCCTCTATTGCTGTATTTGTAGATTTCTTAGGCCTAAATCCACTTTGGCAGTTTGGTAGTAGATTATACTTTTGAATGAAAGCTTAGAAGCTGTAATCAATTATTTTTGCAATTTCTGACTGAAAACACATTTCTGTAATTGCATTCGTTTTGATCCTTTATTTTTATATATAGGTACAGATCTTGATACTTTTAGCTGTTCTGGATACAGTCCTGTTAAGAATGATTGATTAATTAAGAAGGTTAGTGGTTGGGCAATCACATCATCATCGTTTTTAGTGCTACACCATTGATCTCGTCAATATCAGGTGCATGTTTTTTTTGTTACCTTATTAATAATATTTTGGGTTTCGTATTGATTTATGGGTCGCAAAAAGAATGGGTGAGGTACAAGAGGCGATAATTTTTGGTCGCTCTTTGTAACTGGTGGTTTATTTATGTTTGTAAAGAATGTATTGAACTGATTTGCTAAATCTTTTTTGTCGCTAACAATTGCACCATTTATATTTAATTCTAATGTAGGTTTTGACGTTCATTTTCTATGCTCGTTTATTATTTTCCACAATTCTTTACCTATATTATCTGCATTTAGAAGCCTTTCATTATTACTTTGTTTAACTGAAAAACGGAATTCAAACAGGCATTGAAGTGGTGTGTAGATTATATAAGTAACTGAAAACAAAGGTTAAAAGTAAATAGCATCATATCAGAAGAAATTAGCTATACCAAAGGAGTTCTAGAGGGAAGCATATTAGATCCTCTGTTATTTTTAGTTTATATCAATGACATTGTTGATGTCAAAGTGAAAGTGATAGTCACCTGTTTGCTGATGACGCACTCATATAGTTTTCTTGAAAGGATCTAGATAACTTAGTAAGAGTTGTTAATGAAACTCTGAAAAATGTTTATAAATGGTGTTGCAATAATTTAAATCAACACAAATAAAACAAAACATATGCTGATAATAGTTATGGCAATGTGCAATTTTGTTGAAAAACAATGTGTTGGGGGAAATTCTATACAATTAGTAGAAAAATTCAAATATTTTGGGGTAATAATTGACAAACAGATGAAATTCACAGACCATGCTCACTCTGTCATCAAAAGTATTGCATTTAAGTTAAATTTCCTATATAGAAGTTCATTTGGCTTATTACAGTGGACTAAGTGCATTATATATAACACTATCATTCTACCTCACTTTAATTATTGTTCTACAATACTCTTTTTTTCTAAATCAAAATGAGGTGAACTGACTAAAGAAGCTGCACAATAAGGCAATGCAAATACTATCTTGCTCAAAATATACTCTTATTAATCTAATGCTTGAAACTTTGAATTAGATGCCAATCAAGAGTCTTTTATCAAGGAATACATTAATTTTTAATTATAAAGTCAAACATGGGTTACTTAAGAATGAACTTGGGGAGTACATAATCACAGGGAAGGAACTCTTCAGGGTTCACTTCCCTGGTGCACAAACCATAGCACACACACCGGCTAACCAGAATCTAAACGGACTGGAAGCTCATAATAGAGCCAATAGGCACCTGTGCCAATCCATATCCTGAGCAAAGTGGTTAAAAAAAATTATTTTATATTCAAAAAATCACATAATAAAACATGACAGCGACAATTATGTTTTCCCTGAAAATTACCTGAATTATTAATGTTTTTACCTGCCTTTTAAACCATGTTTATGTATGAAAGGAAGAAGGATGGCATTGTAAAATCGATTTGCAAAGATAGTCAATAATAATTATAAACTCTTGTTAGACAATTATTTTAAACCATAATCATAGTAGTTTTTGTTTGTTGTTTCTATGCCAACCTGTAAAAATGAATCACAACAATAGACATACAAATAAATTTTTAAATCAGCACACATTGATTCATATTTTTAATATTTACCTACTAATCGTGGATAGATGTCTTTGTGCGATGTTAAGAGGAAGAAAATATTTCCCTTCAACGATATATAGCAAGATATATTTGAATGTTATTTTCTGGAAAACTTTAAGGGCAAACAAAATTAGCGCTATCATGCCCTATGTGATTTTTTTAATATAAAATAATTTTTAAGGGATTGGCACAGGTGCCATTTGGCAAAGTACAACGTTTTTCCATGCTTTTGGGGTATATTTCATTTCGTTATCAGGTGATGGTAAAAATTTGCAGAGTGCTCTTGGGCTACCATGGAAGGACACTGACAGTGATTCGTATTCATGATCTGAAAAAATGGATTCGAATCACTTGATTCGAATCCTTTTTTATTGCAAAAAGGATTCGGACATAGGATCCGTGATTCGAATCACATCTCGTGATTCGAATCATTTTTTTGGGGATTCGTCCCAGCTCTGGTAAGTAGGTACATGCACTTGACACAATTTGTCCCAAAAATGTGCTTTACACCTGTGAGTGCTAAGCCATTGATTTATATAAGCGAACTAGCTAAATAAAGGAAATAATAATAATAAATCTTATTGTGATTTAATGTAATTTTTGATACACCAGTAAACCACAACCCTTTCACCAGTTACTGTCATCCCAGTTATTGACAATTTCACCAGTTATCGTCACCTCATTTATTGACAGTTTCATTAGATATCGTCGCCCCAGTTATCGACACAACAAAGGCAGAGCATTGAGAAGTCAAACACTGGATCCTCATAATACCCTAGTACTCGACAAAAGTGTTGAACACTGGAGAAAAATATGAGTATGCATACCCAGTTATCATTATCAACACCTCTAAAGTTTACGTCATAATCCAAGTAAACAATGACATTTTACTAAAACATGTGTGTTAGAATGCAAAGATACCTTCACAAAATTTTATTCTCATAAATTAACTATTTAAAAATCAACAACCTATTTTATAATGTATTAATAAATCACGTTCTTGACACACAGTGCACTATTTTTGTCCCTTAATTAAAACTATTACCTGGGACGATTTTAAGAGTACTGCCAGATACATTAGACTTTTGTCCTGGCAGAGAATTATGTACAAATTTGAGCACATGTCCTTATTAGGAGAGTTTGAATGTTAAAGTGTCGATTACTGGTGCAATGTTGATTATTGGTGCTATTACCTCATGATAGTTTTATATCTGTTTAATTATACTTTTCTTTCTTAATAAATTATAGATTATTACTTTGTTTAACTGAAAAACAGATTTCAAAAGTATGGAGCTGTCTTTGTTTGATTTATGATATAAGAAGACATACATCATTCAAATTAGGTTTAGAACTGATATCCACAGTATTTAAGAAAAATAGATTTCTATATCCTCGTACAATAAAATGTTTAAACATTCATTCATCAACCTATCTCGATTTAGGCCATCCAGATATACCTAGATCCAGTCTGTCTGTAACTGGGTGTAAAAATGAATAAAAAAATCATTTACAGTGAATAAACATCATAAATTAATATGTATATTTGAAATTTGCTCTATGTAGCTTAAGTTAATTTATAGTTTTTATTTTCTCTGAAACTTTTGTAATTATTATTAGTTATAATAATTATAACTTATCTGTAACTATTTGTGATCTATTGTATTTGAGAAATAATAAAACTGTTATTGTCTTATTATACTAACTTTCATGTTTTTATGGTTATTTCACGTTATTATTAAATTTCTTGGTTTCACTCTTCTTGGTTGTGTGTGTTTGATTTAAAATATAATTTCACTATTAACATAAGTACTGTAGTTTTATTTTAATTTCAACAACCAAAATCAGAAGAGTCCTGAATGTTTTTTAAATTTTATTTCGTATTTAGGTCACCTAAAAATACAATAATTTTGATGGTAAGGCGACAAGGCACTATCAAGTTTTTTATTTTTATTTTTACTCTTCAATGAACCAAATCCTCAATGTCAAAAAATCTCCTTTGTTTTCGATTTGTCCAGGAGTGCATATAGAAACCTCACTCGCGCGTCTGACCACATACATTAGAATAGGGAAGAGATGAGCCATGCGAAGTTTCTTAACACAATCCTGCTTTCTACTTTTCAAAATATGGTCACTTTAGTTTGGTAAATAGTTCAACTTTGTTCTCTAATAATTACTGGTTGTTCCCAAATGTTTGAATTTATGTCACCATATGATTATTTACCTAAATTATAATTGTTTAACTTACACTAGAATCAGCTTCAGAATCGTTTTCTGAGTCACTATTATCATTAACAGGTCCAGTATTATTAGGTTCAACACTTAGTGCAGCAATATCTACTGTGCTTGGTAAATCTGTTTCTTCAGGCTCTTCAGCAGGTTGGTGGACAACCGATGACCACCCAGGAAATAACTCTGCACTAGTTCCATCATTTGCAGCCATTTTTAATTTTCTAAAAAAGAGTAAAAATTAGTTTAATATTCCTGTAAATTTCAAATGATCAATAGTTGGCGCCAAAAGAAAACAAAATATAACAAATGCTACCGCCATATTAAATTGCCCTAAATAACAATTATATCTTTTTCTGACGATTTTAACCGATCATTGACTTACTTTCAGGTAAAATGAACCATCATTTATTAACTGATGATAAAACATACGGTTAATTTTATTGAAAAAAGTCAGTTTCCATGTTTTCATTTCCAGTAAGAAACAAGATGGCCACCAGCTGACTTTTAAAACACATTTTTATAAATAATAACGATACTTAATAATCTAGTAGAAAACTTAATATCATCACACATTCTTGCACTGTCAAAGAATTATTAGAAACAAAAACGACATTAATTCTTTAAAAATTTGCTAATTTTACACTACTTGTCTTGTCAAAGTTGCGCAACAGCGTCAAGATTCTTGAAGAAAATTCTGACAGTCAAACAGGTTTGCCAATATGAAAAGTGACATTAACGGTACTTTTAAGTTATTTTTGGTAATTTATTGCATTCATGAATAAATTTACCAAAAAAATATACTATTTAATTTATATGTACAAATAATATACACTAAGTAACGTCAATATAGGCTTTTTTATTATTACTACAATTATTACAACTCCGAAAATCTCAAGAAGGCGTTCTCAAATTTAATTTTATAATTCTTTAATTCCACATTTTTAGTATAGATGTCAGAAGCTACTGTACGTAGTTGCGACATCTTTGGAAAAAACGGCAATACAATGAGAGTCCATGTTATATTTAAATAGTTCACTGTGTTATTCTGTTATACAAATACAGCTACTTCTTAGTTGATGTCGCCATAGGGATTCTCCTGGTAATAATTATTATATTTTCAAACTTAGGGCCGGGCGTGAGCAATGTATTTAATATATAGGCACACACAACGTTCTTTCAGAATTTTTAACCGAAACTACAAGGAGAAACTGAAAAAATCCTGTCGATAATTTAGGTAAATTATACTACTGTTCAAATACGGTTTTTGGTGTTTCTGCAAGGGATCGTTTAACCCTAGAGTGCTTGCAGGGGTGACCAGTAACCCCAGCGAAATTTTAATTGGTAGTTATTAAAAAACCGTAACACTGGCAACCGTGTGTGTTCTGCTATGTATCTTATCTATGTCCCGGTGTACTTGTACCACATACTTTGATTTTCTTTTACTATACGGAGAATGGTCGCACTGCGCAGCTTTCTGAGTGCCTTTTAAAAGAAGATAGAAAACTCCGCCATTTTGAACCCTTATTACGTGTGGCCTACATCTTGGCGCAATATTTTTAATAGGTGCGTTTTAATCATCCGCTTCTGCTTCGGAATTGTCGGTTTTCTTGTTTTAATTTGACAAGTTAAAACGACTAAACCGACAATTCCGGAAGCAGAAGCGGATGATTAAAACGCACCTGATATTTTGCTTGCGGCTGTCAGTGTCAGTGAATATTATTTTTTGACTCACAGATTATTGCTAAAGAATCAGTTAGCTCACTCGGACCAGTTGAAAGTTTCAAAATAAGATCCACTCCAGAGATACAAATTTAGGATACGCAGAAGACAGCTGTTTTATTATAGGCGGTTGTTATATATTGTATTATCCGAGTTGCGCAGTGTATAAACTGGAACATTGAGATCAAAAGTGCCGACGCAGAGTGAGCGATCTGATTCTTTAGCTATAAACTGTTGCATAGGGTTCAAAATGGCCGGGCCCTATGTTAGGCGTGTCGGACCTCTCTCTTGCGCCGTATAGTAAAGAAAATCAAAGTATGTGACTTGTACTATTTAATTATTTATAAAGCGTGTGGCAGTGCTGTTTGTTTTGTGTCGCTGTGAGTTCTGTCGCGGCCGGGGTGACGTGTAACCCCAGGGGCCCAATTCTCGAAACATGCGTTAACTGCCGCATGCGCTAAGTAACGCATGGTCGTTAACGCATACGACAGCAATTTAGTATTCCTGAACACCATGCGATAATCGCGAATCAAGTCGAACGTGTTAACGAAGAGTCTTTGATTATTGCATAGTCTTAACCAATGAGGATTGAGAATACCAAAGATGGTATCACTGAATATGAGATAATTGCATTGACACATGTCAAAATTGCCAAAAATTATAAAATTAAATGGATTGGATGTCTAATATTTTTTGGTTTTTAGACGTTTTAACTGTGATTATTTGTATTTTGGACTTGAGAATTGGAGTGGTTTAGATTTAGAATATTAAAAATGGAACAGCGTGGTTCACGAATAACGGAAAAATTGCGTGAAACTTTAGTAGAATTTATAACATTGTTTAGTGCCTGTAAAACTCATATTTCTTCTATATCATCCATACTAAATAAAATAAACCAAAATAAAGTGGCACCTAAACGTCCAATAAACGAGTTCACGGTACAAAAAGTTTCATTTTTATATTCTAATAAAATGTTCAATAGAGTCAAATTAAAAATAAATATTTCCCAATAATAAATCACAAAACAAAACCAATAGATAGAAACACGAATCACATATGATAAAGCAGGATTAATTGACAATTATAACCTTACTTTCACCTAAACGAATGCGACAAAGTAGTTGTCGAACGGTCATGAGCACAAAGCACATAGAGGTTCCACGTGAATGACCAAGGTCAAAACCGACAACTGACATTTTTTATGCTATTTGCTCCAAACTCTAGATGGGGCTACTGGTGAAATTATGATTCCTTACTCCATTTTTAAGCCTTATGGGAGAAAAACTTAACCAAAGACTCCAAAGATGTGACGTGTATTTATTTATGTTCTTGGTTAGTTTCATTTTTCCGTCTGATTTTAGTGATTTTTTGTTGGCTTTGGCTTTTGGTTTCTGTTTATAGTTTCGTCTTAGTTATTTGCAAAATTTTGATGTTTCGCTTTTTTATTTCCTACTGTGTTTTGCAATAATTTTGGTGCTACGTTGAAAACTTCGAGAAAAACTTCATTGATTCACCATATATTCACCATGCATCTGCATCATAAAAAGACAAACGGGGACAACAACTAATTGATAATCAATTTATCACTGGACTAGATTCCGAAATCATTTTTCACATAAGAGAGTAATACCACCATCTGTATTTGGAAGGAAAATACCTATTTATCATTGAATGAATAGTTAAAAGGATTCACCTTTTAATACAATACCTATATTCCATTTGTCCTCAGTTAAAAGACATTTATAAAATATATAATTTTAGTGTTAATAAAATGTAATATCCTAGTCTCTACTTCACATTTAAATTATTGATAGGTATTTTAAAGATTTGAGATTATATATTTGCTCCAAGTAAGTATTCGTTAAATATGTTGTTATTTGTTTTTATTTTTATCTAATAATATTTAAGTTATTAATAAACATATTTTAAGAATGTTCTATTTTATTATTTATAGATTTATCTTATATTTATTTAATAAAAATATGCAGAACCAACTCTCCACATTAGACCCCTTATAACAAATTAATTCTTCAAATTTGGTATAATCGACCTAAATTATTTTGTAAAACAAAAGTTTCGAACTTACTAGTTCCATACTTTATTTTATAAAATAATTTATGTGGAAATCATTTAAAACTACTACCTACTCCTAAAAATTACAATTTGAATTTACCGCCATCTGTCAATTGTCATTTTAGTTCCAGCTCCAAACACAAGGTGGCGCTAATTTGGTTTAAAAGTTTAACATTGGCGTGGGGTCTCTAGAAGATACATGCTTTGTGGTCATGAGCGCTCTTTGAAAATCATCATTTCTTAGCGCATACGTTAATAAATTTGACGAATGCCGCCAGTTCAGGAATACACTTTCATCAAGTCGCATACGTTATCGCATTCGATAAGTTAACGAAGGCGTCAGGAATTGGGCCCCAGTAAGCGTTAAGTGTTATTTAAAATAAATATAAAAAAGAACTTTCGATGGCTGTTCGGCCAGGTGACCCAAAATTCTAGGAAACTGTGCTAAGGTGGAATGAGGAACTAGAAAGTCAATATGTTTCTGACAATGGGGGTACAGATTTTGAAGATAATGTGTCAGTACAATCAGATTCAGATAGCATTGTATCGATCGAAGAAGAGGAACATGACAGAGGAGATATTATAGATAACAATACAGAGAATGAAGCTGAAGAAATAGATAGTGAAGGTGAAAAAAAAATAGATAGTGAAAGTGAAAGAGATCCGCCTCAACCAAAAAAGTTCAGAGGAAAGAATGGCTATAGCTGGTCTGCTGAACCACCAAGTCGCACTCGTACTCCGCTGCGAAATATTGTCTTTCGACTACCAGGCCCAAAAAATGATGCTAGGAATATAACAACTATATTGGATTCCTGGAAACTGTTCTTTAGTGATGAAATTATTATTTCCATCGCTTTATACACTAATCAAGAAATAAATAGGCAAAGACAGAAATATTCTCAAGATTGTCGTTTTGTAAATGAAACTGATACCATTGAAATTATGGCATTATTTGGTTTACTGTATATTGCAGGCCAAAAAAAAGACAATCATCAGAACTCAAAAGAAATGTGGTCAAAGTTTGGGCCAGAAATTTATCGTTGTATAATGAGCGAAACCAGGTTTAGGTTTTTGATATCTTGTATAAGATTTGACGATAAACGAATCAGAGATCGTCAAGATAAATTTGCCCCCATACGTACTATATGGGAACGATTTATTTCAAACTGTACTAAAAATTATACACCCCATAGTTATTGTACCATTGATGAGCAGCTGTTAGGCTTTAGGGGAAACTGTCCATTTAGAGTATATATTGCTTCAAAACCTGATAAGTATGGGCTCAAAATAATGACAATGTGTGACGCACGCACCTTCTATATGGTAAGTGCTATTCCTTATATTGGAAAAATAAAAAGACCGGATAATGAACCTGTGCCAGATTATTATGTGAGAACACTGACCGAGAGCATTCATGGAACAGGGAGGAATATTACAATGGATAATTGGTTTACGTCAATCCCATTGACCGACAAAATGTTAACTGAATTCAATTTGACTATTGTAGGTACACTTAGAAAGAACAAAGAGAAATTTCTTCATCTTTCCTCCCAAATAAGGAGAAAAAAGAAGGTACTTCTCAGTTCGCATTTAGCAATAAAAAAACATTGGTTTCTTACACACCCAAAAAAATGAAATCAGTATTATTATCCAGCATGCACAGCGGAAAGGTAATTGATGAAAATAGCAAACCTGAAATCATAAACATCTATAACTCAATAAAAGGAGGGGTGGATTCATTGGACCAGATGATGCACTCCTCATCTGTCTTCAGAAAAACGCGTAAATGGTCACTACGGTTTTTTATGGAATGCTGGATCAAGCAGGAATAAACTGCGACGTGATATACCAAATTGTGAAAGGTAACAGAAAAAAGAGTACTCGCCGAACATTTTTATTTGAGCTTGGGTTTGCTCTGGCTAAACCTCACATGGAAAGACGTTTAA